TTCCACAAAATCAGCATACACCTCACCTTCTGTGTGAAAACAGCGACAGGATAGAGGTAGTCAAGCGTCTTGACTCAATTTTGTGCATTCTGTGGAACTGAACAACCCAGATAAGGTTTCGAATTCACTATACCTTTCGAGACTTCATCTTTTATTAATTTTACTCGAAAATGATGGATTATATGAGGAATTTTATGTAGGTAATTAAATTTTATCTCAATTTGCAAACGTGGTACTTCATGAAACATTCACATTTAAAGCTGAAGGATTCAAAAGCAACCTTTCGATTCGATTGTTACGCTTATGATTAGTTCTGTCATATAAGTCAATCATTGTAACACTTTATGGAAACGTATACGAGATGATCTCAGTATGATACTGTTGACGATATAATTGTCTTTGCTTCTAAAAGCGAATTGATTGCTAGTTCGGTTTAAGCTAAACTGTGCTTCGGAATCAGTCATCCAACGATAAGTGGATGTGTTCCTTAAGTATTTAAATTTCATTCATGAAGAAAATAAGAAAACAAATTCAACGAAGAAAATGTTTTCCTTATTGACGAAATCATCTTATTAGAGGCTGTACGGTCGTATTGATATTTATCAAAAATGTAATGTAGTTCAATAATGAGTAATAGGGTAAGGGGTGGCATAAGTGATACAATTACTCAGAAGTGGCTTTAGTAGTGAGAATAATACTTGTAAATTCCGTAGTACTTAACGACAGAAAGGAAGAAAGCGTTAGAAATTTGATAAGGTTGACAATGTTATTGAGTGAGGGAGAAAGGTGGTAGTTGAATGGCGATTTAACAAGTGTGAAGAGGCTGAGAAAACGTACAAAAGGGACATGTTAGGATAATAATAGTAAATTAATTATCAAAGTGAAAGCAAACTGAAAGTAAAATTGTAATTTTTCATACAAGGAACGACTTGTGAAGACGTTAAGACCACGGGAAAATAAGAGACTGGACAAACTTTTCTGTATACAGAGTTCGGCGTTGTATTGACCAATCGCCAACGCATCCGCCCTACACCTTCGCCTGCCTTGAATATTCTATTGCTTTTGATTTATTTCTTCCAGTTCTTCTTGTATACTTCATTTTCGCTATATTCCCTCCTCTGCTCTGTCAAATCTCAGCAACGCAGTATGACAAAGTGGCAGTTTTGTGGCAATTCGTCAATACAACTTCAAACTCTGTATACAGAAAAAGTTTGTCCAGTCTCTTATTCGACCATGATCTTGACCTCTTCACTAGTTGTTCCCTGTAAAAACAAATTACAATTTTAATTTTAGTTTGCTTTTACTTTAATAATGAATTCACTATTATCACTGTCATATGTTCCTTTTGTACATTTTCACACTCTCTTCACACTTGTTAAATTGAAACTCAACTACCTTTGTGGTGAGAGCTGTCTGCAAGCCAAAATTGTAGACAGCAATTTACGTCAATGTTCACGTCCTGAATCAGGGTCATGAGAAAAACAATAACAAAGCTGAATCTTGAGAAAATCACCAGCCAGTCACAGTGGAGTTAAAGTGTGGAAATATGGATCACAAATACATGACTTTATCTTCTGAGAAACGGCCACAAAGTGATGACAGAATAACCTTGAGCGAGAAGACAAACAATCAGAAGAGGTTGTTTCCCCGCTGATAATGATGCACATAAACATCTTTAAATACCTCTTGATTCTCTCAATAAACGATCTGTTACCTGTCCAGTGTCTTCTGTCGTTATACCCTTGTTCTCACTCAATAGCAATTGTAACCTTATTGAATTTCTAACCATTTCTTCCTTCGTACTGTTGAGTACAACATAATTTACAAATTTCATTTATTTTACTTCTAAAGCCACATCCGAGTAATTATATGAATTATGTCAGCCCGCCCCCTCCCTATTACTCAATAATAGACTACTATACAATTTTGGTAAATATAAATAAGACTGTACAGCCTTTGAAGAAGATTTTGCTGATAAAGAAAGTTTTCTTCTCTGAATTTGTCTTTTATTTTTGTCATGTATGTGTTCATTTGTCTGTATTGGAACCACTGAACTCACGTAAGATGAAGTTAATTCACTTCAGGTGACAATATGTTCATCTTATATTTTTAAAACTCCATTGCAAATATAAACTAGGTACTGCATAATTTACTATCTGTAGCGCAGTTTTACAGACTCTAATGTGTCGAGTTGTTAAGTCAACGAAACCAAAAATGAAATCACTCGGTTGTATTCGACTGACGAATGCTTTTACTGAAGTTGTATTTCACTGCAAGTTTTCATTCACCATACTTTTGTGTTCGTAATTAGGTAAAAGACATCGATGTGATGTTTGTGGAAAAGATTTCAGTCAAGCTGGTTATTTGAATACCCATAAACAGTCTGTTCATGGAGGTGAGTTTGTTGTTTTGTGTGTTTATTTTATGTCATTATTTCATGTTGATCTGATACACTCGACGTTTCACTATTGCGTCACATACATGACCACTGTAGTTTCTCTCTGTGTAGAAGTGGAATTTGGTAATTTCTGTAGAATTTTCTTTCTTAAAAGTAATTTCAGAAGTCGGCTCCCGGCATTTAGATCTTTGCTGATTGCCATGACTGTTGCGTAATTGCCTTGTATAAGCCTTTAGTGGGAGTGTGACTGTCATTTTTTATTCACTGTATGAAACTGAACAACTGAGACTGATTGATGAATTCATTAGGCCTTTCGATGCTTCATCCTTGATTAGATTTTTGCGGAAAGGGTAAAATATAAGTGGAATGAAACGATTGAGTTCTATGTAGATAGATACTCAAACTCTGATTCTCTTTTCAAGCATGTTGCTTAAGCAGGTTTCGGAAACAGCCAGTTGATGTGATTGTTCTGCTTCTGCTTATTTCTATCAGGTATGCATGGGATTACCTTACGGAAACGTCTGCGAGATGATTTTTCATCATATAACTGTTGACAGTACTAGACAGGACCAGTAATAACAGCGAGATATTGACAGCAATTACATTTAAAATTTAGAATAAATCCTAACATAAAGTGGAAAATACTGTCATCAAGTCGTATTTACACACTTTTGTGTGAACGGTTTAAAACAGAACATCTTAGAGAGAATTCACTACATCTTTTGATACTCCATGTTTCATAATGTGCCAACCAGTTGACTGGGAATGCACCTACAAGGGATGTTTGTATCTCATTGTGTGAAAAATAGATGTAAATGAGAGGGATTAATACTTTTTGACAAATTCCGCTTCACTTGAAAATGTCAAGGGACGTAGAGTGAAATTCATCAATTCATAATTCAGCCAAATTTCTTTTATATTATCTCGCTTATCTGATGTTCAGTTCATCTAAGTGTCACAGTGGTAATCTGTGTTGTAGTGGACTAAAACGTGTCTTTCGTTCGATGTATGAAATCGCAACTATGTCTTCACGATCTTTAGGTAAGACATACACACAGAATCGTCGTTGTTAGGAGCGTGTTACAAGTAGATAAATCAGTTATAGAACTGTTTAGATAGTGTTGAGTAGTGAAGGTTTACAGTTTGGTCACGGAAAGGATTCATAACTGTGATCACTTTTATTATGTAATACAATGTGAATAAAAACCATCAGTTGTCCTATTTAAATTGAAATCACTGGACAGGTCACATTTTTACTCTTTCACCTCTGTCTTAAATTCTTTCTACTCTTCAGGGAAACCAAAGAAGGATGTGAAATCATAGAAAGCATGCAGTTGAAAGAAGAAAGTAAATGCTGACAATTTCAAGGATATTCTGTTTCATCTTTCTACGCAATCGTGCTACTTTTTCACTACTTAAATAAACTGTTTTCTAGCACCTGAGAAGTATTTCTTATGATATATTGCGTCAATTTCGCCATTCTTAGTCTGTCGTCGTCATAGTCGTTACCATTTACTAAACAGTTTCACCAAAATATTAACCTTAAAAGCGGATTACAGTATGTGATTCCCTTCACAAATAACAACTACATAATAATAAATCGCTGTGGCTTCTGCTCATTGACATTTTTCCTAGAAGAATAAAGCCTGACCTTTCAGTGTGCGAATAGTATTTTGACAGGGTTTTGTTCTCTGAACGGGATACGTTTACTCGTGAAGCTTTTATTGCCTTACTACTGGGCAACATCTTCAGCGCATACTTCAATTCGGAGTGAGGTTTTATATTTCTTCACGAGTTTATTAGTCATCCCTCCTGGGGATAGTGAACAGGATTGGTTGTTTTTGACTGTTTTCATATCCTTTAGTCTACTTGTATCGGTATTGATTGTTTCCTTGACCTGAAGTTTGACTTTTTATGCATGTGATTTTCGTCTCATGGATTGGTAAATTTCATCTATGTTAATGCAGCTGTTGGTCGCTGATTCAGTGGAATATCAGGCTTCCAGAAATTCCCTGTCATTCTTGGTGCTTCCTCTGTCTAATACTTAAAAGTTGTCCCAGTCGAGCTGATGCTCGTGGTTGTCTGTATGCAGTGATGTGAGTGAGCGAGTGGATATCACATCTTTTGATGGCTAGTTTATATTCATCGATGCGAAGAAGACGAAGAGGGTGTCCACTTTGGCCAATATAGACTTTTTCACAATCGTCACAATTTATTTTGTAGATGGTGTTGACTATATCTTCTTTTGTTTTTGAGTCTTTTGGTTGACACAGAGTTGAGTTTAGTGATTTTAATACTGCAAAAATATTCATTCAGACATCTATAAAAAACACAAAATAATCGAGCAAAGAATATTCTTTTCGATAAATTCCTCTTCCAGGCTCTACAATTATATATATGTTTATATACACAGAATATTTTAAATTAGTAGTTATTAACAATATTAGCGTTTTTTAAATAATATCGATTTGTAAAGTAAGATCACAATGGAATTACAGTTCATTAAAGATGCTTAAATTATAATAATAATAATAATAATAAAGATATAACAGCGAATAGAATATCAACTAAAATTAGGGAAATTCCACATAAATTCTGGATTATTCAAACCTGGATGGCCAAGGTATTGATAATGACTGAACTAACTTCTTTTGGGTGCATAAATTAGGCTTATTAATATGAATCCCCACAGCCTCAGCAATATTTAGAAGTCGAACTCTTAAAGCGAAATTGAGATTCGTAGGTATGCGGTAAATGACCCTGAAAGCATGATTGACGTCAATCTTGGCGGAAACACTGAAAAGACTGAAACAACAAGGCTTCATCTCGCAGAGTCAGTACACGTCACTGGAACGTTCACACCAAGACTATATGGCTCGCCTAAAGTGCACAAAAATGGTGTACCGCTACGACCAGTATTAGATATGCTAAATTCACCATACCATCCGGTAGCCAAATGGTTAGTTGAACTCTTACAGCCCCTTCATACTGAGTTGGTGAAACATAGTGTAAAGGATACATTTGGATTCGTTGAAAGGATAAGAGATTTTAATGTTGATAATAAATTCATGATATCATTTGACGTATCTTCTTTATTCACCTCTTTATGTACCTCTCATGGAAACAGTAGACTTTATATGTGAAGAACTTAAAAGACGAAACATCGACGTTGGCATTCCTATATCTTCCATGAAGGAGCTTCTCTTGAAATGTACAGTGAATGTCCACTTTTTATTTAATAAGGAACTGTATAGACAAATCGACGGTGTTGCAATGGGGTCGCCACTAGGACCCATTCTAGCCGACATTTTCCTGGCGAAACTAGAAAATGGGCCTTTGAAAGATGTTATTAATGAACTCGAATTTTATTGTCGATACATGGATGATACTTTTTTGATTATGAAGAACGAAAAGGAGGCAAAGAACATCCTGGATAAATTTAATGAGGTACATCCTGCAATAAATTTTACTATCGAGAAAGAAAAAGACTCTAGTATTTCATTTCTAGACGTCCTTATGACCAGAAAAGAGGACGGCACAATAAGAAGAAGTGTATATAGAAAACCTACATCAACGGGCAAGTACACACATTTTCTCAGCTTTGTGCCCTTGAAATACAAACGCAATCTAATAAAGTGCTTGGTCCACAGAGCAAGAGAGATTTGCTCGGATGGATGTCTTGACGAGGAGCTTAACAATATTCAACGGTTGCTAAGTGAGAATGGTTATCCCGAAAAGTTTATTGATAAGAATATGAATCTAAAACCAAAACAGTCCAAGTTACCAACAGTTCCAAAGAAAGCCTTGTTCTTACAGATGCAGTTCCTAGGAGACAACACAAGTGAGATACTAACACATCGCCTCAGAAATGCGGTAAAAAGAGCATTCCCTGCTGCTCAATTGCGCTGTATCTTTAAAACCACTCCTCTTCTGCGTTCGGGAATAAAAGACAAACTGCCTAATTTCGCCTCTTCCATGTGTATATACCAATTTAACTGCTCCTGTGGAGCCAGTTACATAGGCCGTACAATTAGGCGTGTTTCTCGTCGAATTTCCGAACATCACCCTGCCTGGTTAAGCAAAGGTCAAACAAAATCTATTCGCTGCGCTAATCTGGCGCATCTTGTGCAGACAGAACACAAGATTGACGTTAATCATGCTTTCAGGGTCATTTACCGCATACCTACGAATCTCAATTTCGCTTTAAGAGTTCGACTTCTAAATATTGCTGAGGCTGTGGGGATTCATATTAATAAGCCTAATTTATGCACCCAAAAGAAGTTAGTTCAGTCATTATCAATACCTTGGCCATCCAGGTTTGAATAATCCAGAATTTATGTGGAATTTCCCAAATTTGAGTGGATATTCTATTCGCTGTTATATCTTTGTTGTAACTGTAGCGGAATTAAATGAGGACGTTGTCGCCTTGTTCTGTCTGCGCGTGACTAGTATGCCTATCTGCTTCTGGTACCTTCCGATTCAGCGAACCACGTAAATATCAAAAGACAAAAGCTGGTCTGTGACTGTATATTGTAGTACAACAACCACGACTAAGAAACTTATTTAGGAAATGGTATTTATACATTTTTACAACCAATACAGACAGCTAACAGTATTTGAAATAATTGGTCGTAATAGTCAATATCAAAATGTGTGGGAAATGATGATATACCACTTATGCGAGATTAACAGTCGTTAAGATAATTGAACAATAACAAAGTGCGTGAGAATTGATGATATACCACTTATGCGAGATTAACAGTCGTTAAAATAATTGAACAATAACAAAGTGTGTGGGATCCTATCAATCTTTATTATTATTATTATTATCATTATTATTATTATTATTATGATTATAATTTAAGCATCTTTAATGAACTGTAATTCCATTGTGATCTTACTTTACAAATCGATATTATTTAAAAAAACGCTAATATTGTTATTAACTACTAATTTAAAATATTCTGTGTATATAAACATGCATATATAATTGTAGAGCCTGGATGAGGAATTTATCGAAAAGAATATTCCTTGCTCGATTATTTTGTGTTTTAGTGATTTTATCGGTTTTTGTGCGACATCAATTCCTAAAGGTGTTTGAAGAGTCGCGCAGTGGTTTCTGAGACGTTCTTTATACATATCGTAGGGTGATTTTCTTTGTGTTTTCTGTGGTGGTCCTTGATTTGTTTGAACGGCTGGCTTGGGTGTAGATGTCTTCTGATGAAGCTTTTGCGGATATCCATTCTTTTGTAAGACGTCCCTGAGATATTTTTCTACAAGTTAACTTACGACCAGTTACGTGCTGTTTGTCGAAATATTACCGGTGAATGACACAGGTTAGTCGATGCAATGACTGATTGACTTGTCAACATAGAGGTGTGCACACGTGAGTGCTGTGTAAAACAGATACGTGTACAAGGCGGAAGGATTAGATGAAAATTCGTGGATTGTCTTAGTTCCACCCGACGGCTTCTGCCTATTACATGACTTTCAGTTTTGCGTATCCGATTAACATAACAAAGTCTATTTGCCGGAACAAGTGTCTTTCAGATCTTAACATTCAAGAAGCGTCGGTAGCATAAAAGTTACAAGCATGGTGCAAACTCTTTACTCTATGATAGTTTTCATGATGTACTTCTACCCGATAGGAGTTCAACAACGGTGACATGTTTACATTTGACCTGCCAGTAAGCCAGCGAGGTTGTATTAACGCTTCTAGAAAAGATCTAAGATAGGTCAGTCCTAAAGGCTGTTCATTTCGACCTAATCTACTGTACTTCGTAGTTGGCGATGAAGTCTTCGTATGCATATATCTTCATAAACAGGCTATGCCTATCGGGTCTCAAGAACTTGTCCCTTAACCACTTTAGTCACGAGGATACTAATGCTTTTGCCGCTTTGAAAATTCCAAGAATGCACTGTTTTGTAACTGAATTAGGAAGTAATTCCCACATGGAGTGCTAACTGAAAGTTGTACATGGAATTACTCGCGAACGACAAGCATTGTAGTAGTAGTAGTAGTGTTGTATCATTAGAAGAACTGAAATTATGAGAGGTAGTCACGCAGACAGTGTACATAAGTGGTTTATATTTTCCTCAAGGAAACTGTGGTACACAGGATTAACAGAGATCCAACTTGGTCATCGTCGGATGAATGGGTTCATCGCTCATCTTTACTTGTGAAGAAGAACATGATGGTGGATTACATTTCCTTGACATCCAATTGAGCAGAAGAGAGGATGGTTCACTCAAGAGAGATGTCTATAGAAAACCTACATCTGTAGGACAATATACACATTTCCTCAGTTTTGTACCAATCCGATATAAAATCAATTTGGTCAGATGCCTTACGACTAGAGCAAGACGTATTTGTACAGATGACTCCCTAGAAAGTGAGCTAGGATATATCCAAAATACGCTGGTCCAAATGGGTTATGCTAGTAGATTTGTTAGGAGACACATGAATACCAGGTACAACAAAGAAAAACTGACAACAGTTAAAAAGAAAGAACTGTTCATGAAACTTCAATTTAATGGGGACATGGCTAGTGAAGTCTTACATCTGTGATTATCGAGAGCGATAAAACGGACTTATACTGCCGCCACCCTTTGTTTTTTTCATTTTCCAGCCGACCAATTTTGATTGCTCAATTGAAAGATAGGCTACCTAGTTGTGCCACTTCGATGTGTATCTATAAATTTAGTTGCTCCTATGGAGAAAGCTATATAGGGCGAACAACTAGACAACTTAGCAAACGCATTAATGAGCATCTTCCTTCATGGTTTGGAAAAGGTCAAATAAAATCCATACGAAGTTCTATTTTGGCTCATTTGATTGATAGCGGTCACTGAGTGGACAAAAAAAGTGCTTTCAAAGTTATCTATCGTATTCCATCTAGTCTTTCGAATGGAATCAGAACCCGTCTTTTACACCTAGCCGAAGCTATGGGAATTAATTCGAGAGAACAATCCTAGTCTTTGCATACAAAAGAAGTTTGTTCTACCTTTGTCTCTCCCTTGGCCTAGGTGAATTGTATTCAAAACCCTCCCACCCTTTCTTATTTTCCACCTCCTTCGTACTTTTATAATATTTATTTAAACTCTGAATATCGTTCCACTTCACCTTTTAAGATTTGACCCAATTTATTTATACACTTATATACATATACTATCTTTGTTCAAATAAAGTATAATTATATTTTAATAGTTTACACACAATGATAAGTTTTGTTATTGGTAATATTTCGAGCAAAATTACTGCCCGTGTTCACACCAGTGTTGGAATTGTTTGATTCACACATTTATGATTTGTACTCGTATATATAGTTCATTGTTTTTGTTCATTCATATTTTTTTTTGTATTTGAGTTGTATTCCAAGTTCATTCATGTTTTTGTATCCAGAATTATATTCCAAGTTGTTGGTAGTTGTACTGAGTCACCCTTGTTACATGTATCCGGTGTGACTTTAATGAATATCGATTCTGTTATAAGTCTTTCTTTCCATTTGTTCATGTTAGTTTTTAGAATACGCACATTGTCCCAATCGATATTGTGGTTTTTGTCCCATGCATGTGCAGCTATCGATGAATTTTTTTCAAGATTTTTGTAGTCTTGTGTTCCTGTTGGTTGACCTTTGGTTAGGCGTTTATGTTCATTCACTCTTATTTTGAGTGATCTGGACGTTTGCCCCACATATTTGGTCGGACAGTCAGCACAAGATATTTTATAAATCAAGTTGTTTTTATCCATCATTTTTATGGGATCTTTCAGTTGATTTATTTTATTTTTGATTAGATTTGTCGGTTTAAAAGTTGTGTGAATGCCAATACTTTTGAGGTTTCTTTGAATTGCCTCTGATGTACCATTTTTAAATGGTATTGTGACTGTTTTTTTTGCATTCTTCCATCTTGTTATTCTCCGGTTTTACCCTCTTTTTTTTCTTTTTTTATATTATCTTTTATAAATTGTTTTGGGTAGTTGTTTTCGAGTAGCATCCTGAATAGGACGTTTATTTCTTTACACTGGTCCTCTTGCGTTGTTGTAAGTCTGCGTATTCTATCTGCAAGACCTTGTATTAATCCTCGTTTCACCGTGAGTGGATGAGCTGAGTGATAATCGAGGAATCTTCCAGAGTGTGTGGTTTTCCTATATAGCGTTGTTTTAATGCTGCCATCTGTTATTCTTTGTATTTTGCAATCTAACATAGGCAGTTCCCCAATTTCATTCTCTACTTCCATAGTGAATTTTATTGAGTCGATATGGCTGTTTATGTGTGAGAAGAGTTTCTCAATATCGTTTTTTTTCACTATTACTAGTGTGTCGTCTACATATCTCCACCAACATTTTAGTGATGACCTGAATGGTTTAAGGGCATTCTCTTCCCAATAATCCATGAATATGTCAGCTATAATTGGTGAGATAGGCGATCCCATGGCTACTCCTTCATTTTGTTGGTATATTTTCCCTTCGAATGTGAAATATGTTGTTGTCAGACAAAATTCCACCCCTCTTATTATCTCTTCTATGGATAACTGTGTTCTATCTTTTAGGCCATTATCTTCTTTTAGTTTCTCTTTCAATGCATTCATGGCCATTTGAATGGGTATTTTCGTATAGAGACTGTTTACATCAAAGCTGACTAGTATTTCATCTTCCTCTATTTTAGTGGTTTTCAGTCGCTCCACTAATTCAAATGAATCTATTATTCTAGCTTGTGAGTTGTCTCTTGTTGGTCTTAGTATTGTCGAGAGAAATCTTGATAGCATATACGTCGGTGTGTTTCTAAAATCTACAATCGGCCTTATTGGATATCCCTCTTTATGCAATTTTATCTTGCCATATATTCTAGGTATATTGCATGATTTTGGCATAATTTCAGCCATCAAATTTCAGACTAGGTGGGAATTATTGGTTTAGTGGACGCTTGCATACCAGTAATAACAGTTATAAGCAAAAAAATGTCAATGGGATTGTGAAGTGTTGGTTTTCAGGGGATTGATTGATTGATTGATTGCTAATTGAAGTCATTTGGTGATGAATGCTGAGCATGAGTGGAGGATGAAGCTGCCTGTGGTTCTTCTATTTGGTTAGAGTGATGAGCGCAGGAAGATGCACGAAGTAGTTGGGTGTGAGGACTGACTGACTGAATGATAATCGTTGTTGACATTACCTTGTGATGGCGGTGTATCGTGAATTGACAAAAGTCGTCAGAGAGTCCACAAGTTATTGAATTCCTTCCCTTCCTTGGACTGAATAGTACACTTACTGGCCTTGTTAACTTGTAGGTAGTCGCGTGGCTTTGTGATTTGTTATATTTTATGTGATGAGTGTGTACTACTCAGAGGGAGAGAGAAAACGTCCCAGACAACCATGAATCAGCTCTGTCAAGTCCTCCGCGTTGGTTTTCACTGGCTATCGTCTAATCGAAGTCAGCCAATTTGTGATCGATTGAATTGCTTTGAATTTGAAATGTTGTTGTGAGTGGTTAACACCTTCTTTGTTGCATATATTTGTCTTATGCATTTATCTGTGATTTTTCATAGTTATTTATTGATTTTTATTTTAAATTATTGATTTGTGTTTCAGGAATATCAAGGAGTAGTGGATTTACTAGTGAAAGATAATAAGAAAATGCAGGCAACAGTGGAAGAAGTACAGGCACAGTTAGCTGAACATCATTTACAGGTGGTGAGAAGGAAGTTGTTATTGAATAACAGGAAGAAGGTAAATCACACACACACATTTATATATATATATATATGTATATATATTTGTATAATACTCTCCCCCAGCGTGTGTTGTTAGCTTTTGTGTTATACTCCACCGATTATAGTTTAGTTTAACGATGATAATAATAAGACGGGGATTAAGAACAGCAACAACTGTCTTTTACAGTTACTCGTTGTTTGAATTGAATTCCCAGAAGGAGTTTTCCATATTCCATGTGACTGTGTGCCACTCGCCACACTTGTTCTATGAGAAAGAGAGACAGAGAGCTGATGATACTACCGAGTTAGTTGGTCAGGTTAGGTTGCACCAAAGTAGGTGGTGGAGTGGCATTCGAAGTGTGAAAGCCTTCTGTGAGTGGAAGTCATGTAGTGAAACCAATGAGCTGCCACGTCTCCACATTGTTATTTGACTTTGTCTGTCTATCTGCCTGTCTCTCTCTCTCTTTGTGTTGAGCTAATGTAATCGACCCTTCCGCTCGATTAAATTGTCAACGGGTGTTTGAAAAGCAGGGAAGACTGGATGGATAGCTGTCTCGTCGTCGTGCGTTATTTGGGGACAGTTCAGCAGTAGTAGTGCACGCACGCACAATGCATGCTCCTAGGTGTCTATGCTACCCAGGGTCTTCAGGTGACGAGTCCAGTGCTTTGATCATTCAACTATTGATTGTGGTTGCTTGACTGTTGTTGATAGATTTTGGCATTTGATGATGACTTTTGTCATCTTGTAACACCATCTTACCTGCCTTGAAGTCGAATGTCATCAATGGGTGTGTGATGTCTTACACTCACTCATAAAGGTATTCTTTTATTGGATAAGAATTGCTGTGTAATCCGTTATCCTAGTGATATTATTATTATTATCCATCTTTGTGAAAGAGTCTGTATTTTGTAACCATGTACTAATTATTGGATATATAGCTAGTCTGTTTATGGTTTGAAAATTCCTTGCATGAATATATCCACAGGAGTAAACACCTACACACCTGATTATATCATATGAAGTAGTATACTATAGCACTACGCATGAAACAGTCATACTAGAAATTAGAGGTGAGTTTGAAGATTGCTTCAAAGTGGGTTAAAATGTATCATCATTGGTATTTGATGAGGAAAAAAAATGAATAGTTCATCACTTGAGAACTGTTTGCTTTCGTTATTCCTTGCGTTCGAAGTAGAACGGAACTAAAGAGTTTCAGGATAGTTGATGTTATTTATCTACGGGATGAGATGGTTACTACTAGGCTGTGACACTAGATCCTGTCTACTTTCCTGATTTACCGCCGACTACTTAACTAGGCGAGGTTTAAGATCTGTCTGTTTGGATTCAACATAGAACTTGACACCGAGGTGCAGCAGTTCGAGTTGCCACGTTCCAAATAGCACACAAAGGTAGACAAGAAAATGAGTGAAGAGAATCAATACAGTTTTGACAAGCATAAGAGTGAAACAGAATGAGTAATGGTAGAAAGGAATATGAAAGATTACAGAGACTGAATACATCTGCGTAAGCCATTGACAACGATTTTGAGCCATGTCACCTATTGTCTCCAGCCAGTGATTCTTGGAGTCCCGAGGGTGGGCCCCAACCCGGAAGTCTGCCTCTCCCTACCTGACTCAGTTTAACTGTTAAGGATTTCATGGATTGATGCCATGTTTTTGTTTAGCCACTGCTTACTCTTCTTCAACCTGCACCTATATCAGCTAGTATTGCCCGTCGGGGGAGGCGATGGTTAGGCATGCGCGAGGTTTAAGATGGCACTTGTGGTAACCTGCTCTTGTCTGCTTGTGGCTATCAAGCCTCCTGCCATTGAACTAACGAGTGGTCTGTCTTGTTTCTCCTGGCTGTCTTTCGCAGTTATACAAAGCTTACACTTTAGTGGGATTGAGATGAGACAATGTCTCTTGCTTGATGGAACAGTACAATAGTATGTGTTGTTCAGTGAGACCTCTTTTTTCTCTCGACAAAGAACGTTTTCTTTTTTGATTATAGCTTGATGTCACACCGTATTTTCAGTACAACTATGGAATTTTCAGTATGTGATATTGGTAGCCCAAATTTGCAGGGCAACCATATGTATCAAGTGTGCGTCGGCAGGGGATCGAACCCCGGACCATATGCATGGTCGACGAGTCATAACCGCTGTGCACATTGTCATTCAATGTATACATTTTACTTTCCTTTTCTGTATGATTTACCAACATTGTTTAATGATTTGTTCCCCTCCGTCTACCCCGTCTGCTTGCTAGGCACGTGAAACTGATGATGCAGATAGGTCAAAAAAGATTGACCAGTTTGTAGCTGAAGAAGAAACATTGCAGAAACAATTGTCTGGTATCACTCGAGGCAATTCATGCACGATGAGACAGATAAACAAAGAAGAGGAGGCACTTCAAGAGGTAAGCATAACTTTAAAATGTGTTAGTTTTCGGGGAGGGGGGTTGATTCCGAGTTCCATTTTATGAAACAGATTTGAGTTAGAGAAAAGATTGAAAAGCACCGGGAAGTAGTGAATGAACATCAGTTTCGCACTAGTTTTCAGTGACTGTGTGTCTGTCTGTTTTTGACATAGAACTTTGCACTGATGTGTAGCAGTTCAAGTCGCCACACTCCTTCCTTGTAGAACACAAACCAAGAGAAGAAATGCAAAGTAAAGACAGTAAACAGAGGTGTGAGACAAAGGAATAGTAATAACCAAGAACAATATAGTTTTATTGGGAATTGTAAGTCACAAGGATTGGATGCATCTGCACCAGTCATTGAGAACGATTTTGAGCCATATCACCGATTTTCCCCAGCCATTGGTTTTTACCGTCCCGAGGACTCCAACCAGGAAGTCTACACCTTCCTACATGATTGGCTTAAACTAACTGTTGTGGATTTCATTGACTGATGAAGCCAGGTTTTGGTTTGATCGCCGCTAGCAGTTTTCCAGCCTGACCCTATGTCAGCGAACATTGCTCGTCGAGGAATGCGATGACTAGGCATATGTAACACATGTCCTAACCATCTCAGTCCATGTAATTTCACAGTCTCGTCGACTGATTTCCCCTCCTTACCTAGCACTCGACGCCTAACCTCAATATTGCTCACCTTATTATACCACTTCACACGGGAGATAGAACGCAGACACCTATGATCAAAGACAGCTAATGTTTTCATGACTGAGTGATGACTCAGTCATTTCGTGATCTAACTTAACTTTAGAGGAATAACTCTACTAACTAATTGTCACTTTAATGTTTCCCCTGAAGAATAAGACAGACACCCACCGATTCGATTGTTGTTTGGTTTAGTATTGTTGCGGTCCTTTACAAATAGTCAGTATTTGCGGGTGTATAAGCTTCCCTGAACGCGCATTTAGAGTAAGACGAAATGTTTATGGATGGTTTTACTTGTCAGTGTGTATGTAGAAATTAGTTTACAGTCGGTCAGTCATGAAAGTGATGATTTTTGTGAAAGCAAAGGACATCATCATGTGTGATAATAAATTTGTATTCACCAGATTTAGCATGAATATCCTTGTGGTCAACATTGACGCTTAATATGAAGGATAATGCCGGGTGGAATGGGGATGAGCACGTTGAACACATCACTTGTTGTTTGGGTTACTGTTGATACTCCCTCACATTTGTGGTCATTGTATTTGGTGTTTACTCGTGGTTTTCTTGTAATCTTGTAAACTGTGTGATTTATACTGGATGTGTCACTCACGCCGTTTACTCATTCGTGTGTTGTCCTCTAACGAATTCCGGAAAGGGACTGTTTATTCAGGCTTATATTCTTCAATATTCTGAAACGGCGACTGTTAACTAGCGATAAAAACACAATTGAGTTTTCAGTCAATTCATTTGTGTGTGTGTGTATGTTCCTCCTCCTGTCATGCATGCATGCATGTATAGCTGGAAAATTATTTCTTTTATTCCTTTCCTCTTTCTATATAGGTTTCAAAATGTCGAATTTCCTTTGAAGAACTGAACGAAGTACTACTTGATATAAACCACATTGTAGAGAGAATTTCTTCGTCAAGATGAAAATGGTTGTCATCTCTGATTGAAGTTCTATGCACTTTTGACGTCGTCCTTCTAATTCTCTTCAACATGTGTACAGTGAAATGTTATTGACTAACTGTAAATATTTCCTTGATGATTGTGTGTCTAACATAAATGTGGTTTAATATAAATAATAATAGTAATAATAGCTTTATTCCAAACTGTATTTGTGGTACAGGTATGGAATTTCCAGCGTGCATTACAATATTGCATCTAATTACCTCATAAATTTTATAAGATTTTAAAAACAAAAAGCAATAACAACAGGAAGAAAAAAAGATAAATGAAAGAAATAAAAAAGAACAGCATTGCATTCACATATTTAAACAATGCATCACAGGAATATGAAATATAAAATTAGTGTGTAACAGAAGATGTGAACAACAATATAATAGTAACACAGAAAGGAAAACAAAAACTATTGGGACTAATTGTTAAATTGCCGCAGTAAGTTGATCGTGTCATACCCCTAACGGATTTCTTATCACATAACAGCTGTGCCAGATAAGGTATTGTGGAGTTTTTTACTTGGAAGTCCTAGCATATAGCCTCCTATAGCTGCTTCTAGTTCTACCAGATGAAATGCAAGGAGAGAGCTGAGTATAGAGAGGATGCTCAGGGTCTGACAATATAGCATTCGCTAGTTTCTTACATGACATTATATGTCTATCCACAATGGTGTTAACCAGTTGGTTTAACGATATCCCATTTCCCCTGCTGACAGCTTTTAGTACCCTTCTCAGCAAAGCAAAATCTTTCTTCAGAAGTCCACGAAAGATTAATGGGGAGCAGTAAAGAGGGATGGGTAGAATACAAGAATTGACAAACTGAGAAAGCAAAGACTGCTTTATGCCAGACTGCCTTAATTTCCTAATGTAGAACGTTGAGCGAAGCATCTTTCTAGTAACTAGCAAGATGTGAGGGGACCAGGAAAGATCGGAGGAAATACTCAGTCCAAGGTACTTGACATTAAATGTAATTTCAGCCCCTATGCCGTCAATGATAGTGAGGCCATGTGAGCTAGCTAGTTGTTGTAGGTCATGTTTTCGTCTGAAAGTGAAATTGACTCCCTGACATTTAGACGGATTTAGCCTACGACTGTTTGAAGAGGACCACTGACTAATTTCCGACAGAAAGTAATTTAATTTGGAACAGTCTGACTGAGAGTTGACAGGCATGGAAACAGAGAGGTTATCAGCATACTTGACGAAAGTGGCTACATCAGAATGGAGCAAGTCATGTAAGAAAAAAGAAAACAGAAAAGGAGAAAGAACAGGACCTTGAGGAACACCAGATAAAGTAAGTGAGGTAGGTAGTGGAGGACTTTCCCTTGTAGACGGTGTACTGCTTCCTATCAGAAAAATAGGAATGCAACCACTTATTTGTTCAGCTCTCACTCTGTGTTGCAGCGAGCTTACTTAGCAAGAGAGACCTAGGTACAGAGTCAAATGCAGACGTGTAATCAAGGAAGGCACACACACCTAACGTATTTAACTCCTCTATCTAAACTAGAGACTATATTATGATATAGAACAGCAGCGGCATCTAAGGTACACCTATCTACTCTGTTTATAAGCAAACTGGTTGGGGTCATTGAAAGGCTTTACAAAGGGTTCAAGATTAAGTAGAATAAGTCTTTCCATAACTTTTAAAAAATGCGAGTTAATAGCAATCGGTCGAAACTTAACAGTAGGTCCACTTGTTGATTTAGGCACTGGAACAACCTTAATATTTTTCTATGAGTCAGAGTTAATACTTTTGGAAAAAGATTCATTGAAAATCTCGGTTAATGGGTAACATAAGATGTCAGCACAACCCGTTGTTTACTGTTGAATTTCTTGAAATACTACTGCTGCTTCCGCGACACCACCACAACCAACAAAGGATCTCGAAAAAAAACGTGATTGTTCAAGTTCTTTCGCCTAGTGATCGTGAGAATAGAACGCAGGTGTACATTGCTGCTATCTGACTTGAGTTCAGTTGTCGCACTGTTAATTTTGTTGGATTGTGATAGATACCTAAGAGACTTCAACGAGGGTATCCTGTGTCTATCAAGCTGACAGTTGCCTACTTGTGTAATTGTCTGCCTTCTGGATTAGTCCTACACTCGCCTTTATTCAAGTTTTTCGGGGATATGATGTCCTAGTGCGTATAAAGCATCCCATTTCTGACATTACTTTACAATCTTATCGACTGATATACTACTTGCCTTGCATTCTACGCATAACTGACTTGAACATGTCTAACTCTGACTTACTTCATCACGGGAATACTGTAATAGGCAGTTAGCTATTTACGTTGATTGAATGCTGAGCAGGGATGTCGTAGTAGAATTCTCCACATTTGTGAGCGCTTCCTGTATGATTCATATTATTACTCCAAACCTACCCATATAGTAAATCGTCAGCTGTGTAAAACGATTCCGGGTTTTGTGACCAGTTAGTTGTGCTTGAATTCACTGATACTTTCCACCTGGGGGGGGGCGGGGGTTGGTTACGGTTTCTCAAAGTTGTGTATCATAAGCCTCATGAAGGTCGGCGGCGACCTGCTAAATATCCCATCCTTTATCATCGATGACTCCAGCCAGGTTGTGGCTATATATGGTAAAAATGGTGTAATGTCATCATGGGAATTGTGAGACTGGTGTTGAATGGAGGCAACTGTGGCTTGTTGGCACTCGTCAATAAGCAAGGGGTATCTATGATCTTGAAGTAATTGATATCCCTTCTGGGATTCGAACTAGTAGTGCTGTAGTCAGAGAGATCAATTACTGAACTGTTCGAGCTCACAATTGACTCTCTGTGGGACTGTAATGGATATATTGATTATTAGTCAGTCAAGAGTAACCAGTGTCATGCATGTGCAGTGCTTGGTGTTGTCGCTGACTGCTGGATTCTGTTAGTCTAGTTTGCAATGTGGTCACTATGGTTAAGTGGTCCGCCATCGCTCTTCATTCTAAAATTGATGGTAGATGGTTGCTCAGGGATGATTCCGAATAACTCACTGGTGGTTTCTTTGATTGTGTAAGACTGGGCGACGAGAGTTCGTATCTGAGATGCGATATGAATTGCATAAATGTTGAGTATTTAAATATTCCCATTTTTAGAACAAGACATATAAGCGAACAATATTGTTGTTTTCAATTAGATGTTCTTCAGGCTTTACTCTAATTTACATAGATTTATATATATCCTTTATATATATCCCTCTTTATGCAATTTTATCTTGCCATATATTCTAGGTATATTGCATGATTTTGGCATAATTTCAAACCATTTTGACTTACCAATTATTTCCTTCATTTGTCTGACTACCTTTGCTGTTTCTTTCATTGTTTTGTTTGTGATTGTTTCAGCTGACTTCGTCATTAGGGTATAGGGTCCAGACTGTAGATGTTCATTCATTTTTTTTCATTATATGTCGTTTTATTAAGTATTACCGTTGTGTTTCCTTTGTCTGCTTGAGTAATGACAATGGATTTGTCTGCTTTTATGTCTTGGAGTGCTTTTAGTTCCTCCTTCGTTACATTCAGTTTTTCTGCTTTTTGTTTTTTTAAGGTCAATGCACATTGTGCTCGTACCAGTTCTGCTTTTTGCTTGTCATGTCCTTCGAGTGCTGTTTCAATTACAGGTATAATATCTTCAGGTTTTAATCTTTTGTTGCTAATGTTGAAGTTCATTCCTTTCATCGGTACGCTTTCCTCTGCTTCTGTTAGCTTTCTGTCTGACAAGTTTACAATCCAATTGGCTTTAGTTACTTGTTTGTCATTCGGAGTTTTCGCTATCATGAGTTTATTAAATTTTTTTATTTGTTTCATCTTTGTTTTTTCATAGGTAGTTTCTTTTCGTTTTTGTGCAACTTCTAGTATGCCTTCATACTTTTCCTTTTCAATTGCTCCTTTCAGTTTTTCTTTTGCATCATCAATATCTTTCCTTATTGTGAATAGTTTTCGTATAATTCCACGTAAGTTTTCTTTGATGCATATTTTTGAGGCATGTGTGAGTGCTGCATTTGCTTTATCAGTAGATATCGGTGATTTTAGTCTCATATATACAGGAATAATTCCATTTTTTAGGCATCTGATGTTGAAAATTCGATGATTCATAAATCGAGATTCAGCTTGATATAAATGTGTGAGTTTGTTGGCCAGTCTTTTAATGGGAAGACCGTCAGTTGAATTATTTTATCAGTAAAAAGTTTGAGCATTGTGGATTAGATCAAATAAAGTATAATTATATTTTAATAGTTTACACACAATGATAAGTTTTGTTATTGGTAATATTTCGAGCAAAATTACTGCCCGTGTTCACACCAGTGTTGGAATTGTTTGATTCACACATTTATGATTTGTACTCGTATATATAGTTCATTGTTTTTGTTCATTCATATTTTTTTTTGTATTTGAGTTGTATTCCAAGTTCATTCATGTTTTTGTATCCAGAATTATATTCCAAGTTGTTGGTAGTTGTACTGAGTCACCCTTGTTACATGTATCCGGTGTGACTTTAATGAATATCGATTCTGTTATAAGTCTTTCTTTCCATTTGTTCATGTTAGTTTTTAGAATACGCACATTGTCCCAATCGATATTGTGGTTTTTGTCCCATGCATGTGCAGCTATCGATGAATTTTTTTCAAGATTTTTGTAGTCTTGTGTTCCTGTTGGTTGACCTTTGGTTAGGCGTTTATGTTCATTCACTCTTATTTTGAGTGATCTGGACGTTTGCCCCACATATTTGGTCGGACAGTCAGCACAAGATATTTTATAAATCAAGTTGTTTTTATCCATCATTTTTATGGGATCTTTCAGTTGATTTATTTTATTTTTGATTAGATTTGTCGGTTTAAAAGTTGTGTGAATGCCGATACTTTTGAGGTTTCTTTGAATTGCCTCTGATGTACCATTTTTATATGGTATTGTGACTGCCTTTTTGCATTCTTCCATCTTGTTATTCTCCGGTTTTACCCTCTTTTTTTTCTTTTTCTATATTATCTTTTATAAATTGTTTTGGGTAGTTGTAGTAGAATAGTAGTAGTAGAATAACAAGATGGAAGAATGCAAAAAAACAGTCACAATACCATTTAAAAATGGTACATCAGAGGCAATTCAAAGAAACCTCAAAAGTATCGGCATTCACAC